GATCGAATGCTACTTACAATTACCCAAAATACATCATAAGGCTTCAAGATGGTTTGAGATGTGTCCTTGGACAAATAATAATGGTTGTAGTAATCTTAAGATGATATGGGAGAAAGATCTCTCTTGTACACTGGATGTAAAAACATGGGAGGGGATTCTTTCCAACACTGAAGAATACATAAGAGAGGCCAGAGGCAAGTTCATTCAATATAAAATAATTCATAGATATTATTTTACCCCATCAAGACTTAACAGAATGGGTTTAATTAATAATGATCTATGTTGGAAGTGTGGGGTGGAAAGTGGCACATTTATACATGCACTATGGGAATGTTCTAAGATCCTCCCCTTGTGGGAAAAAGTTATAGATTATATGAGCAAATCATTCAATTGTGAGCTTCCCAGGTCACCAAGACTATGTCTCCTTGGAGACAGAACTATGGTACCCCTGTTGAACAAATACAGTTTTAGAATATTAAAAACTGGCCTAATAACATGTGCACGGACTATTCTGAGGTGTTGGAGGGAACCTCAAGCTCCCACACTGAGTATGTGGAAAACACAGATGATGGGGACTGTGGCATGCGAGAAGATGTTGGGGAGATTAAATTGTGAAAATGATATGATAAAAGAAAAATGGGATAGTTCTGGTAGACAGATGTGTTAATTTGCCTGCCTTGCCTATTCACCTGCCTGTTTTATTTTTAGTTAATTTATTTTCAGATTTTGTATTTTATTTTATTTATTTATTTTATTTTATTTCATTTATTTCATTTATGTGATTAAAATTTATTTGTGCATGTACGTTGAAGGGCATGTCCGTGGCGTGCCCTCAAAGTTGGCCAGGTTGAATCAAATGTCAAACTGTAATGCCTTTTCTGGCATTTAAGGGATTCTGTTTTAACTAACTCCTCCTACAGATTTTATCAAATTGACTTAAAATTCGATCACCGCATCATGTGCCATCGTTACACGTGCGGACCAAAACATGAAATTTCACGTAAAAACTGTTATCAAACACGTGAAATTTCATTGAGATTGGATCATGTACACTGAAGATATGGGTACTAACTGTTCGATGGCCAATCGGTGAAATTCGACACGTCGTCACGGGCACGCGGTTAAACGTACAGTCACAAATAGCACAGCTTTTGATCAACAATGTGTTTAGATGTTTTGGTCCTGAACCATCCCTTAGTTATGCTGCTATAGGCCTAGACTATCGGGGGATTTCCCATGGTGCACTGAGCTCCTCTCTTCCTCTCTCTTTCTGCACTCATTCATGTTCCATTAATGCATGTTACTAACTTCACTTCTTCCCCGGAGTTCTTGTGCTTTCTCGTCTTGCAGGTTCTTGTCGATCCTGGTGGAGCCTCCTGCCATGGTCCTGCTAGATTGCCATTGCCAATACTGTTGTTGCTGTGCACCTGTCTGTCTGTCTGTCTGTCTCTCGCTCTCTCTCTCTCTCTGTCTCTCTCTCTCTCTCACCCCAACTGGTCGAGACAGACGACCACCCACCTAGAGCCGGAGGATCTGTCCTAGGTTTCTGCCTTTTAACAGGCAGTTTTTCCTTGCCCTTGTCGCCAAGTGCTTGCTCATGGTGGTACTGTTGGGTCTCTGTAATTAATGTTTTAAAGAGTTCGGTCTAGACCTGCTCTATTTGAAAAGTGTCCTGAGATAACTTCTGTTATGAATTGGCGCTATACAAATAAAATTGAATTGAATTGAATAGATATTTCTGATTTCTCCCCCTTACCCATAATGCCCCATCATCAGCAAATAATGATTTACTTATTCCTCCCCCCACCTCCTCAAAAATGTCATTAATCATACAGTTAAATAATATTGGACTGCATACACTCATACTGGTGAGTACTCCTTTCCTACTCTGACCTCTATCGTCCTCCCAAACAGGAAGCTTAATACCCAGTTATACATCTTCCCTCCCACTCCCAACTTATCCAGTTTGATTAGCAGGCCTTCTTTCCACAACATGTCATACGCTTTTTCTATATCAAAAAACACAGCAACCACTATCTCTTTATTTGTCTGTGCTTTCCTAATTTCTGATTCTAAGCACAATACCATAGTCCATTGTATTTCTTCCTTTACGAAACCCATTCTGATATGAAGAAACTAACTCTCTACTTTCTATGAAATACATCAACCTCTCTATTACCATCTTTTCCATAGTTTTCCCTAACTGAATGTAAGAGCAATTAGTCTGTAGTTTGATGGATCTGATGCAACTTTACCTGGTTTTAAAATTGGCACAATAACCGAGTGCTTCCATGCAGCTGGAATCTCCCCTAAATCCCATATTCTGTTAATTAATTGCAATATAACCTCTAGTGACCTGTCATCCATGTTATCTAACATACATTAACAAATTTCATCTTTCCCTGGTGCTGACTTCCTGGTGCTGGGGATGGCCCTCCTTAACTCATACATACTGAATGGAAGATCCAGATTCTCTTCTGTTGTTAGTTTTTTCTTGTTAACCCATGTATTTTGTGCCAGCATAATACTCCTTTGCTGCTTTGCCTCTACTGATAGATTTTCCGAACTATGAACTTTAATTAGTGTTTCAGCCAATAGTATCGCCTTTTCTAACCCACTAATTGCTGTTCTACTATTACTTATTAGTATTGGGATTGTTATATTCCTTCTTATTCCACTCATTTTCCTGATCATTCTCCAAACATCTGACAACTTTACCTCCCGCCCTATCTCACTACAATATTTCCTCCAGCATGCACGCTTAGCTGCTCTAACCGTCCTTCTAACCACTGCTTGTGACCTTTTATACTGACCTAATGACTCCATTGAATGATGTTTCTTTAACAGCCTAAATGCCCTATTCCGTGCTTTAATTGCTTGTTTGCAATTTTCATCCCACCATGGCATATTCTTTTTGTTTCTGCACCCTGATGCTTTTGGTATCGACTCAATTGCTGATTTTATTACAGCTGTTACTACTTCCTTATTCAATTCATCCACATCTGCTCATTCCTCCTTATGTAATTGTTCAAATCTGTTTCTACTCAGTTCTTGAAAGAGTCCCCAGTTAGCTTTATCAATTTTCCATCTTGGCAATCTCATGTCTTCCTCTCGTTGCAACTCTACTCCAATCTTAATACCAATTGGATAGTGGTCACTACCCATTAATGTTTTATTTATCACTTCCCAAGCAGTGATGCCTGCTATTTCATTTGATGTCATCGTTAAATCAATCACACTCTCCTTATTTTGCACACAGTCATACCTCGTTCCCCTCCCGTCATTCATACATACTAATCCTTTATCTTCTATAAACTCTTCTACTATAGATCCATTTGCATCAGTTCTCTCACTCCCCCATAGAGTGCTATGCGCATTCAAATCCCCACACCACACTACTTTCCCCTGCACTTTCCCCAACACCATACTTAATATATCTACACTTAATTTGTTGCATGGATAATAGTAATTAATTATTGCTGGCTCATATTTGCCTGTCCAAATCTTTATTGTTATGGACTCACATTCTCTCCCTAACTGAACAGTATTGAACCTTGTTCCATTTTTTACAAAAATGGCCACCCCACCACCTTTCCCCATCTTCCTGTCATTCCTTATAGCCGTGTATCCTTGTATTATGAAATCCCATTGTGCTCTCAGCCATGTTTCTTGAATACATATTATACTGGGTTTATCCTGTAGACCTGAAATAAACTTCTTAAGTTCTTGCCCATTAGCTATAAGACTTCTTGCATTCCGCTGCAAAATACTTATGACCATGATGATCCACCACCCCATAAAGAAGATTGTGACAATGTCTGTGAACTGGGTGAAGCTCCTTTCAACACTTCCTCCCACCCAATAGCCTCAACTCCCAGATATTTCTCTGCTGCTTTCACTATTATTTTGATTTTTTCTGTTTTCTTGTCTGTTTGCGCAGTACAATTAATTACATCAACCATGAACAGTATAAACTGCCTTTTCTCCACAATCAGCGTGTCCTCTTTAATTCTACTACATCCCTCACATGCTCTCATTTCATGCCTTTCTGCCATCTTAACACTACTGCCGTTTGGCTGCATCCCCACCTTTCTGACTGCTTCCGCGTATCTGACCCCTTGGGATGTTTTCACTTGTTGCACTTCTTCTGCTCTCTTACTGACTTCACACCCTATATATGCAGAAGTGTGCTCCACTCCGCAGTTGCAGCACTTGAGTTTAGCTCCTCTTTCACATTTCCCATATTCATGCTCCCCTGCACACCTTCCACACCTTTATTTACCCTTACATACTGCCGCTACATGCCCATATTTCTGACATTTGAAGCACCTCAACGGCGGAGGAACATAGAGTCTAACATCATATACAATAGCTCATATATCCGATAAACACTTTATGGATTTGATCCTCATCAAACGTAAGCAACACCGACAGGCTGTCACATTTTTGGCCCTCACGAGTAGTTTTCAGGCGTCTGACTTCCCTCACTTTGGCACCTTTCACGTTTTCTTTTATCTGTTCAATAGACACACTAAGGGGAATCCCAAAAATCACTCCTCGAGTGAGACCTCCACCCTTAGCTATCGTTGCTTTAACTTTCTTCCCCCCGATCTTATTCAGTCTAATCGCTTTATCTGGTTGAGCGCTGTCTCTGCAAAAAATCAACAGTGCTCCACTGCGCAGAACTTTCGCATTCTTTATCTCTCCCACTAGACTTTTTATCCCCTTGGTAAGTAGAACCGGGTTCCACTCACCGAATGAAGCACCTTCTTGTTCCAGTCTGATGATTACCTTACGCTCTTCTGATCAGGCATCTGCCATGATCAGGACCAATCCACATTAAATTCTGCTTCTTAATCAATGTCTTCATAAAAGTCTGTTTCCACTATCAACTGATAGAGGGGAGAGCGAGTGAGAGAGCACAGAGTGGGGGAGGGCGCATCTCTGCTGCTCACTCCCCCTCCTCCTGGTGTGCGCTCGCGACTCACACCAATCCGTGGAAAGGCTCCAGGTCTGTGACAGCAGCCGGACAAACGCCCGTCTTTCCCAGCAGTCGTTCCTCCGTATCAGGGTAAATTATGTGATGGGTGTTGGAGCGGAGCCCGGAGCGGGAACGGGGTGATGATGAAGACGGGGAAGTTCGGTTTCCACTTCCAGACGACGCTCGGCGGGGAATAAAGGGGGACGTCGCTTTTTTCTGAGAGGGATTACTTCTTTGAGTGTTACAATCACTCCGGTTCTTCTTGTTTCTGCACTGACGTGTGGTTGTAATTATGCTCGAGCTCACCTTCGGATGGTCCATGTTGCCCGGCTGATGCGGCGGCTGCCTCTGGCTCGCGCTTCGTCTATGCCCATATTTGGCGCTATCTGAGTAGGCAGTTAACAGGACGCTCCACGTCCAGGTCAACTGACCATTTAATGTGACGAGCCTCACTGTGACATGGAAAAAACGGGCCTCTTCATCCTCCTTTATTACTTCATTCTCAATTCCCCCTTCATGCACTGTGCGAATGGTAAGTGGAGTTCAGAGAGCAAGCAGACGGGCTGAGATACATGTTTTGAGGTCGAAAATAGACTGTGGCTTTTAAAACAACTGGGGTTTGGAATACACGCCAGCTGTTTGCGGGATTAAACATGCATCCTGCTAGTGTTAAAACTAAGCCTGTGCATTTTTACTGTACAATGGGAGGGAAAGCAGTCAAAACAAACATGTGCCCACATTAGTTTTATAAAAAGCATAGAGAACTGCTTTCCATTATTTGATCAAATAAAGCCTGAGATAGATTATAGGTCATAGATGCTCTGATAAAACAATTTCAGGCTATAAATCACAGTGGACAGGGGCTATAGGAGAAGAGCTTAAAATCGAGGAAGTCTGCATGATGGCCAATCCATAGGTCATACTGTTTTAGGTTAAGGAGAGGTTCATTAATCTGTGCTTCTGCTGTCTTGCTTTCATCTACCAAAGCTGCATTTACTGAAGTCCCTAAAGATGTGAGCGTGGGGGAGGGAGATGATGTGGAGATGCCCTGTGCCTTCAAGGCGGTCAGCTCAGCGCCCATGTCTCTGGAGATCCAATGGTGGTACCTGAAGGAGGATGTACCTAAAGAACTGCCTCATGAGTTGCAGATCACTGCTTCAGCCAACAGCGCCAAGGTAACTGCATTGACAACAGATAGACCATAACAACTCAGGTCCCAATGAGTTCCTGCTTTAGGGCTGTATGATATGGTAAAAACATAATATTGCAATTATTTTGTGTTGCTTGCTACATTCTTATGCTACATCTGCTCTACATGACCTAACCTGTACATATTTTTTTGGACAAATACTGGTAACTGAACCACTACATCTTTGAAGCACGTTATGTTACCCAGCAGCTAAAACTCTGATAATATGTACAGTTTTTGTTCACTTTTACCAAGAAAACCTGCCAGCAATCAACATTTGTACTCTCTGCATGTATGCATTCACACTGGTCTACATTTGTAAATATTTGTAAATTCTTCCTTTATATGAGCCTGATGCAGACAATATATTCAGTCTTCAGTGTGTTCTCCATTATTAAAGTAAGAATCGCCAGTATTTGAACCTATTACTTTTGGGAGATAAATCCACATTTCATGGGGTTTATCAACTTATCATAACATCCTCATGATATGTGTCTGACCCTGGCTCACCATCAGACAGAAAGCAAGGAAGCATGTGCATTACCCGGGATGTCACTCCGACTGCAGAAAGGGTGCTTGTTGGTGATCAATACCATTACAGTTCTCTCAGGTCCGCTGCCTAAATCCTCCATGAGAGGATATTGTGGCAGGACGCAGTGGGAATTACCTTTCCCTTCAGCATGACGAATCAGTCTTTTTCAGTTGTCTGAGGAGTCAGGAACAATCGCATCTGCAGCATTTCCTGTGCGGTTTAAGCACATTAAAACATGCAGCGATGGTAAAGAGAGGAGAGGAAAAAGGAGAGGGAGAGGTTATCAATGGCGTCTTTGAGGAATGCACGCGAGCAGCTCTGCTCATGTCGTTTGCTCTATCCCACCAAATGAAAGAAAAATATAATGCCAGTAATATGCATCTTGTAATAAGCAGCTGATAACAGCTGATGTTTTGTTAAGTAATAAACATGTGTACATGTGATTACGAATGCTTTCTCTTTTCAGGTCACTCCAAGAGAAGCCACTAAAATAAGTGTAAGTGTCTACTTTACTGATTGATTAGCATACTTATATATCCCAAATGCTACACAGATGTGATGAATGATATTCATATTGATTTGACAGAAAATAATGGTTGAGGCTCTATGAGAAGCAATGTGAGCAGCTAATACAGGGTCATGAGTTGGGGCTTTTCCTGATGCCTGTGCCTCCACCGTTACACATAAAACATACTACCCTACAAGCTACCCCTATTAAGATGATGACGAATGAAAACTAAAACTGTCCTCTGTCTCGGTTCCAGACTGTGCGTGTTCAGGGCAACGCCATCTCCCACCGCCTCAGCCTGTCCAAGGTGAAGAAGGAAGACGAGGGGGTGTATGAGTGCCGCGTGTCTGACCTGTGGGCCGACGAGACTCAGGAATTTACGGTTCACGCCATGCTACATGTCACACTGGGTGATGGCATGGTGGCTGAGGAGGCCGTGTCGCACATCCAGAACCGCTGGCCACTGAGGAATACCAACACAGCGCTGGGAGGGGGAGGAACAGGGAGGGCCACCACGGAGCCCAACCAGGGGCTGGCAGGAGGTCAGAGGTCAGGGCAGGGGAAGCACCGGGTGCCTCAGCAGGCTCAGCCAGGCCTTCTTCCATCCATCTCATCCACCACCACCTTGGTGGCCAAGTCTTCAGCCTCACCGCTGCAAGGTAATGCAGCCATCCTCCGGCAGCAGCACGGAGCTGGTGAGTGACGGTTGGGGGCAGGCGGTGGAAGTAAACAGGGTCACAGTGATCCCTAGTGGTGATAGAAGGGAGGAGAGTCTGACATACGCATAACTCAGCAGACTGTGATGCTGCAGTGCTGTCTGCATCTGACTCAAGGTTCATCTGTCATTGTAACTCACATCTGAGCAAGTATGCTGTTTCTCGTTGACAAGGACCCTTTATCTTTGTGTCATTGAAGATATTTGGTCTGGAGTTTGGAGATTTCCATGTCATATTGGACACTGTGTTCCTAAAATCACTCCTGTTCATGCAAATATACTGAAATCACTTATAATTCATTAAACTGTTTTTTATCCGCCCATCTTTGGAAATGCAGAGAGATATTTAGGCAAGAATCTGCCGATATGATAGGTATCACAATACAGAGGTTAAGTCAATATATTGTAATATATTGTGATACTAAAATCAAGGCGATATATTGCAGTAGTTATATTGAACATAATTTTAGGAAAACTGTCATAGTACAAAGAACACACTACCATAAGCACAAAATCTGAGTCGACCAAGAGTCGTTGACCTTTTTTAATTCAGCCAGAACAGTGGGATCTGCATTTTTACTTTTTGAGAATATATAAAGATAGATACATTATCACAAAATAAAATAAAGCAATTTTAGACCCACAAGCAGTATGTGGGTGGATGTTCAAGTTGCAACAGTAGAGATTTCTTCTGCTTATGTACAGCTTATAATAGCTTTTTATATTATAACCTTATTTATTATAAATAATAAAAAACTCATTTTCCTTGTCGCAAAAAAAAAGAAATTTAGAATTGGAGGCATTGTGTGTGAGAGCATGAATATTTCTGCATCCATCCTCTCTTGTGTCAGAATGAGTGTGATCAACCAGCTCAGCATTTCGGATCATCCATTCTAGAGCTCTGCCACAGAAGGTGCAGGTGAGAAGCAAACAGCAACTGGAGACGTTGCTTCTGAGGTTGTTGGAATTGTTATGAACCGTCTTCTTGTCATGGTAGAGGACTGGTCTGTTACTCTTGTCGACTCCCTTGGAACGAGGGCCATGGTTGAACGTTTGCCGATTTGGATGTGATGGATTGGGGGCTGTTGAGACCATACTGCGGAAACGGTGGGGCTACGTTGATTTTGAGGTAAGGTTAGGGGCAAAGAAGCTGTGAAGGTGCATGTTGTGATGGGATGGGATGGGGCGCTGCGTCGCGTTGGTCGTGATTTAGGGAAGAGCGAGCTGTGAGAAGAGAGTTCTGGATCTAGTGAGCCCCAGTAAGGTCCCCGATTGAATTGTTGCAGGCAACCAGCGCCTCAGGATGTGAACGGAATATGGTATGTGTAGAATCCGTAGCTAGAAGCCGCGAGGCTGGGTCAAGTATCAGAGGCGTGTAACCGTACAGCTCTGACCTGTGGTCAGGGAATGCTGAAAGAATTATGTTGCTGTACGAGGGAAATGGAAAGGTGAATTGTACTGCGATGAGTTCTTTAGAGCGGGTAGATAGTAGGGCTGGGCGATATGGCTGAAAAATGTATCACGATATAAGTGTTTCATATCAGTCAATATCGATAATTATTGATTCGTTTTTTTAACCTATTAGGACCAGGAGAAAAAAAGGCTGAATTAAAATACTTTTATTTTAAGCGTAACCTTTAACCTTTATAAAGAGGTCAACACAACTATGAAAAACAGTCAAATAAATAAACATACTGGTCAATGTGCAAATATAGACATTAAATAAACGCTTAATCCAACAAAATGCGCAAAGTATTTTGTAAATAAAAAATTAGTGTACACCTGAGGTAGAACTAACATCTTTGACATGTAACAAACAGTAATAAACGGGCGGCTGTGGCTCAGAGGCAGAGTGGGTCGTTCCTTAATCGGAAGGTTGTGGGTTCGATGCCCAGCTCCTGGTGCCACATGTCGAAGTATCCTTGAGCAAGATACTGAACCCCAAATTGCTCCCGATGCCATGCATCGGTATGTGAATGTGTATGAATGAATGTTAGTTTCTGTGTGATGGACTTTGCCATCACTGTGTGAATCTGGCACGTAGTGTAAAAGTGCTTTGAGGAAGACTAGAAAGGCGCTATAAGTACAAGTACAGGTCCATTTACCATTTACTGTCTGCCAAAGAGCAACTCTGAGTTACAAAAGTAAGAAATTAGTTGAGCCACTATATCTGTAGATGGGGCTCATACGATTGAGTCGTTTGATTGGACTGAGTGCTGTTAGCGGTTCTCTGGGAATATAAGGGTTGCATGTGGATGGATGTATTGAATGGCGAGGTCGCCGCTTATACGTCTGAAAACTTATGTTACAATGATGACTCTGAAATAAAACTATTAACTGTTGCAGGGCTTCCTTGTTTGCCTGGACTATGAGGCAAAATGGTTTTTTGAACGAACATAAAAAGATTTATTGCGTATACGTTTTAGGAATTTGCCATACCACTAATTATCGTTAAATAAATATTAACAGCGAAGGAGAGGAGACCCTGGAACAAAGGGAGGACCGGGTCCCGATGGGCCAAAACGAGAGATGGTAAATTCAGCGGGCAGAATTAAACGGGCGACGTTAACGTAGTGAGAGGCGAGAATCTGTCGTCTGAGAGTGGGTGACATAGGGTATGGTAGGGAGGATTGGAATTACTATGCATGGGAGGATGGGTGGGAAAGCCCACTATTGGGCTATATTGGGACCTGTGAGGAAAAAATGACAAGGATTACGTGAGTTTGCCATTCGTCTTCAAACATGTCGCTGTCTGAAGGGTGGACCATGAGCTCGTTCTCTGTGGCTCGAGGTGTTCGTTTTTTGTGTTTCTTGTCTGACGCCGATCATGTGGAAAATTAGTCAAGGAGGGAGTGAACGGATAAGGTGTGCAAGTATGTTTTGAGCGGAAATGAGATGAGTGCATGGCGTGGTCTTTGTTCCTGAACCTAGTTATAAAACTTAATTTAATGTCATGTCGGTTTCAGTTACTTTTAGATTATTTGCATTAAAAGAGTCTGTAATGTATTCGTGTTTTCTTCTTTTCTTTGATTAATTGTGCTGTGACCCCTCACATTTATTTTGTGTCTCGACCTACTCATTGGAAATCACTGCCTTAGATAACTAGTAGTTTAGTAAATCAGTAAAAAATAGCCATGAGAATGTAATTTATGTTGCCCTGTGTTGTACTTCTTATAGACTAACCCTCTGGCTGATGTTTATGTTGTTAACTGATTTACACAGATGTTTGCTGGAGTCTTGGTTCAAAATCAACTCCTCAATAAAAAAATCAACAGTTAATGGCAGTCTGTGTCATTTTCGTTATTGAGTCTCTGAACACTTATGTGAAATTGGTTATGACATCAGCTTTGGGGGAAAAAAATTATGTACTATTGTTGACTGACTCCCGCAGTGTGTGAGTGCTATGACTTTTTGTAGTCAGATTAAATTCATGAAATTGCAGATGAAGCATTTTCAGATACAAGCTTCAAATTGAAGTGGAATTGATTTCATGGAACAGAGGCTTGTTGGTTCAGCTTTCCAAAGTAGAATTGTATTGCTGGAATTACACAGAGAAGTCAGTGAGTTTGGTTACAGATGATAAAACTGAACTAAATCTTGGTGGAAAGCTTTAACATTTTTAGATTAGATGAGACAGAATGCTTATCCAATGAAAGGAATGCACGCAACATCAACTGAAAACCTATCCAAGGTTAGATATTCCCTTTTCTGCAGATAAAAGTATTTGAATGGAATGAAAGAGAAATCCATGATGAATGTCAGCACTAATGCTGCATTCACATGGATTCAGGCAGACTGCAGACAGAGGACTAAAATAATAAAATATATGAAATAAAATTATGTTGTGTTATGTATGTTATATAATTGATGAATTATCATCACCTTGTTGCCCATGTTTTCTCCTTATATAATGGAGCTACATAACATCTGGTTGTAAATTCTGTCTCAGACGACAGCAAAAAGTTAAAATATTTAAACTTTGGACGGAAATGCTTTCTTCCATTGCCATTGCCGATGTTCTCCGCCAGCCTCTCCTAATTTTACCATTCTGCCCTCATCCACTGACATGACTTCGGGTTTGCTGTCTACCGTCTGCCTGAACCCATGCCAACACAGTAACATATACGTCAGGATTTCTCAAATGGGGGTATGGAAATATCACTCAATACAATCGTTAACTGCCGTGAACTGTTGCCTGGCTGCCACAAAGAAAGACAAAGATCCTCAATGAAGCACAAGCTTGTGTTTGTCATTAAGTAAGTGCACATTATCCAAAGGATTTATTTTGCCCCAACCAGAGTTGGTGATTGTTGTTGGAACAGCAGAAAGACTAAGAAAGATGGCTTTGAGTTTTATTTTGTTTCTGTCGAGTTAGAATGAAGCATGTTTTATATTAGGTGAGGTAAAAGGAGTGTTTGTTTTTTTTTGTCATCTGAGTCTGTTGGACCATAGCACATTTTATTTTATTTTTTTCTGAAAAGCCGGTGCTCTAGTCTGAAAATCAAGAACATTTTATCGAGGCTGCACATCTTTTCTTAAGGTTTAAATAACCAGCCACTGATGCAGTGGCAACAAATTAAATGTTCACTGAAGCACATTAAAGCTTCAACATTTTAGCTGCTTTGTGCTTAAATCACAATTTTGATTTAAGCTCAATTAACAAATTCACTTTAATCCATGTAATCAAGCAGCAAAGGATCATTTAATGTATTTGTCACATAATGGCCAATGACACATCAGCGGGGTTGTGATTGTGAAACATTTGACACTGTTTTCTATCCAGTCATGTCAGTATCAGTGTTTATTTCACACTACATCCACACTCAGTTGCTAACATTCCATACTGTATTTTCCCCAAGCTTGATATTGTTGAGTTTGAAAAAAATAATGGATTTTCTTATCATAATGCATAAATATAGACGATACAAAAGCTATATCTCACACGCTCAAGTTTGATGAGAACTGATAAGGTGTTTAAGC